GTCCACTTACCTGCTTCCTCTGGAGGTTTAACTTCATCATGGATGGTACAATCTATACCCTGAACATTTTTTTAATGAAATGTATGAATGTCAAATATAATTCATAGAGTCCAGTATCCCCTATGAGCATTGGCTTCTTCTTTTGAGGACGCCGATATCCGAAGCGCCCTGTGGTCTAAATGCTGCTTCACATGGTTTTCTAGTGCCCCATCAAAGGAGAAACATAAAAAGCAGCACAAGCAAACGGCGTCTTTTGTGTTCAAGTATTGGAATTAATGAAGGTGACGTTTATTGATGTGTAATCGGTGTAATTATGGCAAACAAGGCAAAGCAAATGCTAACCAGCGTACCTTTTACCAGATGATCAGCTGAATTTCCTCAAATGTCTCACTTTCCAAAAACCATGGTTCCAGAACGACAGCTCTCCAATGATGAGGCGAAAGCCATCTGCTTCATCTATACGGCAAATTAACGTGCATTAAACGCTGTGTGCTTCCAACGCACCGACGAGGCGATGGCAGGTAAAAGCCATCGCTCCTCGGCGCCTCATTTAATCTTCACCCGCATCAGTCCGGTTCACACAAAGAGCATCCAAGTGTAGTTCCAAGGCTTAGAGGTGGGCAAAAAGGGGCTTTTATGCAATTACTGGAGGGGCTCCGGGACTCTTTGTACCCAGTGATCAATTATTTGGGAAAATAATGATGATATTTCACTAAAACTAACCAATTCATATATTAGATATACTAACCCGCCAGTGAATAATGTTCCATAGTCCTGTAGTGGGAGACAAGTTTACTCCCCAGTTTGTTTCCTGACATTCATCAACATCTATTTGTTCAAACCCTGCTGACTTTGACCTTCTTTACAAATGTCACTGTCCTCGGAACAGCTGCCCAGAAAGCCGCACATCTGCACTGAGGTGATTAAAGGACGGCAGATGACGCTCTTCACCTGGCCGGCTGATAATACAGGAAGGAAACACGCAACCATTAATATGATAATAGTTCCCACTATACAGTACATACAGTTAAGACATTACTGATGTGCTGATTATCATTGTTTATGTTGGTATTTATTCAAATTATAAATTGAAAATACATTGAGATGAACAGTAATTATACAATGAAAACCTTTTTATGCAACTTGGTAATCAATTTTCAGCACATGGTGTATTAAGCAGCGGTTCTCCAGCTTTTTGCAAAACCTTTTAGTTGAAATAAAGGCGCAAAGCACAGCGGCGTCCCCCGAGTGTCTCATTATTAAACCGTAAACACTTAAAAAAGACAAAGCCTTTGGTGGGTTGCAACTCGGGGGCGTGAATCCCACTGAAATACATTCTTCTTGGGCTTTCTTTGGCTCTCGTCCCGTGACGCTTCATCCTCGCCTCTGTTGTTTTCAAGGCAGCAGTGATTGACAGGTGGAGCCAGGGGGCGTGTGCCAGGTTGGGGCAAACCATCTTGGTATGGGGGTCTCTCTGGATTGTTAGGATAATACAATTTAACCACCATTTTAAAAGGATTTTGGAATGGATCCTAATTTTAAACATACTTTAATAAGATCTCCCTTACCCCTTAGAGTGGCTTTGCATACAGTAGCCCCACCTGAGAAGCACCAGTACACAAACACAGAATTGAATAAAACATCCCGTAGTCGCTGATACCTCATCCAGCTATTTGAGTCAGTATCAGCATGATGTCGATTTTGGTGCATGTGAAGTTGCTGCTGCAGGAATATGTTTGCTTGATTTCTTACTTATCAGTTATTTAACCCTGATTGTGCCACAGTTGCATAATTATAGTGCTGCAGACGACAGTCTGAGTGGGACGGACGTTCTGCTTTCTGGCTGGTATTGGACCCCGATCACTCTGTCTTGGTCTCCGTTTGTTTATTCACTGCAGGTCCTCTAAATAAGTGGGGATGAGCTCAGCTGTGCGTTTGTGGGTGATTTTGAGATGATGTGTGAAATGGAGGTTTTCGCTACTGCCTTTGAAGGGGAGAGGCCAGGTCATCAGTCAAATGTATGTCTGCGTTCAATAGCACATTTCCGTCTTTACAGCTTCTGTTATCTGGTTTCATTTGGTTCCAATGGCAGTTTTATGGCTGTGAAATCTGAGCTATTGACTCTGAGAGGACTGCGTCCACGTTGCCTCTGTTTTTAAACTTGGATCTCATCGTACCGCAGGTCTGCCGAGGGGCCTCACCTCCTCTTCCTCTTGCACTTCTGTGGGTCAGGTCCAGCCAGCTGATTGGCAGTTTGAAGGGGTAAACAGCGGAGAGAAATCCGATCAGACTGAATACAGGCAACCGGGCCCACGGATAAACAAGAAAACCAGTGTCTCCGTGGGTAAGCACGAGGAGCAGCGCTGTGTTTGTTCTCTGATCGATGCCGTGCATAGTGCACGAGTTCTCCTGGACTTGTTTCCTTCTGTGTGGGGAAGTCCAGACAAACAGAGTGAAGCTGGTAACGTGGGATTAAATAGAGGTAGAACAACAGAGAGAGAGAAAGGCAGAAAGACTTTCTCATCTCAGATAATAAAATGCGACGTCGGCTCGGATCAATCCGGGGTTCAGCCCAGCAAAGGTCCTCCCCGAGTAGGGAAATGGAGAGTGAAACCCCAAACACTTTGATTAAACAATTGCATCCTTGCACATAGCTTAGATTCCCTCCGATGAACACCTATAAACCCACGCCGCTGCTGCGCGCTCTGAGGAAATTAAAAGACAAAATTGCCTTCATGAATATTAATCGACGTGAGTTAGAGGTTGTGCCCTTCAAAATTATTCATGCTCTCTTGAGCGCATTTGTCAAGAGTAAACCGTACCCTCCTGTTTGCCTAATACCTAATTCTATTCTTAAGGATGTAATTAAACAGGCTGCTGTGGAACACATCCATCTCCTTCCTTTCCATCCACATCTAGACGCACACAAACATGCGAGGGAATCCTCCTCGCCGATCGTCTCCGAGTGTTCACAGCGTTTCATTAACATTGTGGGGCCTGCAGGTACACTGTAGATGGCCTTTGCAATAGTGCTGCTCTGTGTGTGGGTGCAGGAAGGGGGTTGTGGGGGGTGGGGGGGGATTAGTAGCTGCTTGATTAAGTGTGACGAAATCACTTTTGAGCAGAAAATAAGCCAACAGTGCTTCTCTCTATGATTTGGTGTGCTCTTATTGTCCATGAAGTATGCGTTACACTCGTCTGCCCAATTCATCTTCTTCAGCCAGAGATGTTAACACTGAGAGTCACTTTGCCCCCTCTAGGAGACAAGCTGCAATCTACTGCCTCCATGGTGAGAAGCGAAGGGTTATTTTTCCCCAGAGTGAATCACTTCCTTCATAAGCCACATTTGTTGTGACCATTACCACCAAAGTGGAGTTTTGCAGTCAGAACAAAGGACCAGGGGAAACGTGTCTCCTGGGGGAACCCCTTTACGTATACATTATCACTATGCAGTGTAAAAATCACACAATGTGCTGTAATTATCTGCATAACGTTGGTAACGCTTGTGAGGACAGGACGTGTTCACCATTTCAAACCAATGGTGGAGCTTGAAACATCATCTTTTGTAAAGTAGTACCTTCTACTTACTCTCATATTCCAAGTGGGTGTGTCTTCAGTCAAAGAATCAATGCTTTCATACTGATATTGACTGATAAATCTAAATCTGTATATTCCATTGAGAAACTATTTTAACCAGATTGCCTCCCCAGGACTCGTTGAATGCTGCTGTTTCACGCCTCAATGGATAGTTAATATTTTCTCTTTCTCTTTTATAAATATGTTTTTCCCCAAACCTCGACCATGTGGTTGGAATTTGACCGATTTTTTTTTTTTTTTTTTAAAGTCCCCAACTTTAGCAAAGTAGTCCTTTAAGACAGACCGCACTGTTAGGCCAACATGAACAGAGTACGTATTGTACCGCGGACCATAACCAGACCCCTGCGGCGTCCAATCACACCGCCATCGGCAAAGACATCGTCATCAGACCAGGAAACACTTCTGTGTGTCCTTTCAGAAATAACTAAATACAATTTCGGTTTTCTGTCATCTGAGGCGTTCAGTCAGAGGTCTGAAACCAGGCACCTTCCTCTGACTCCCCTTCCCATACTTCATGGAGTCGGAGTTGTGTTCTCATTGCGTGTAGTGTGATCACTTTAGAGTGGAGTGCCGTACATTTACATCTGTGTGTTTGTCTGCCTGTCTCGCAGTGTCTCAAGAATAAACCACTGGCCTCCACACAACGGCCGCTGCTGTCCTCCTGTGTGTCCAACGGGAGGAACCAGGGGCCAAGCGTTGCTCCAGTGGCTGGGTTCTGGGGAGCTGCAGGTCTACCTGTGGATTATTCCCTTCACAGGAACACAAGGGTACAGGGAGAAGCGGAGCCAGCTCCATCTGTGGAATACTGATGCAGGAATGGTCGAGCTCAGGGAGGCACGGGCAGCATGGAGGCCAGGAGACGAATCCTTAAACACACAGTCTGCAGGGTTTATTGATGCTCTAAGGAGAATCAAAAGAATGGCAACATACTGGATGTGGTGTGGTTGGTGGGAGGAGGGCGCTGCTGCAAAAGAATGAAATAAAAATGACTTCATGTAACGTCTGGGTCTGAAAAGTAAAGCTAAATGCAAATGTGCTTTAGTCCTGCATCCCCTCTAGTGTCCACCAGGGGGCGACTCCTCTGCTCCCATAGAAGTCTATGAGAAAATGACTCTCACTCTTGGTTTATTCCCTCGGTAAACATGACTTCATGGTCTCAATCTCTTCTTCAATACATCATGTAATGAAGCAGTTTATTTAGCACATTACGGCCCATTTACAGTCAACCAGACCAGCAAGTAACACAACGTTGTGTTGTAGCTCATTTTTGCCTCCACAAGGTCAAATTCAGCTTGATGTAATTTTACTTTGAGTTACACAAAAACAAGATGGCAGGAAAAATGCCAAATAAACGGTTCCTTTTGGTCGTTCTCGGTCCAGCCCTTTGCTGGAGACTGAACTATCTCAACGATTGGATCGGAGAAGATTAAGAAGCATTACAAGGTGGTTTCCTAGTACAAGTACAATGACAATTGTTTTTCTGTAACGAGGCACGCAGTCCTCGCTTTACACGCCGGTAGGCGCATGTATTATCTACGTGAACGGCTGATATACTTACGTATGAATCCGCCGACTTTGCTCTTTTACAACAAAGCACATTAGCTCTTTGCTTTTTGAGTATTAAATGAAATGTCTGAAAAAAAGATTCTCAATCATATTAAACCCCAAATGCCCCTGTGCCTCAGTACAGCCTCACGACCTGAACAAGTGGTATAAAACAAGGCTTTGATACACAAACATACGTTCATTTAAAAATATACCCTTTCATTTCTGCTGTATGTTTTCTGAGGATTTCATAGGATTTCAGCGTAACTTAAAGCGGTTGACGTTAGGATAATAGAGCATTTCCTATCGCTGGAATATGATGTGAAATATGAACTGTCGTTTCTTTCTATAATGTATATCTGCTTCTATACAGTCTCTCTGTATGGAGTTAGCCTGACGGATGGCAGGGAAAGGCTTGGGGTCGGAAAGAAGCCGGTTCATATGGAGACCATCTGGAAGCCTGAGAAGAGAAGCACTCCCGCCGCTCTAAAGCTGACATTAATAAGCCCCGTTTGCTGCTGACGAGCCATCGAGAGGCAGAAGTAGAAGCCTGGAAAGTCTGTACAGCTCCGAAAATGTAAAATCTATAACTGTGCAAGTGGAAATCAGCTGGACGAAAGCAAGTTAAGCTGGATGGTTTGACCGTGGAAAATACACTAATTCATTCTAGCTTGTGTTCAAAGAGTCTGTTCATGTCTCCTGTTTCAGGTTATTGGAGGAGTCCATGCAGCCTGCAGAGCAGTCAAAACGCTGCAAGCCATTTTGGTGAATTACAGTTTTACTCTAATCTAATAGCTGGCTTAAAAGATAATCGTGCACGCAACTCCTTGGCTTAGCGTACCTATGGATTAGAAACCCATGTAACGTACTGTTAATCCCGTATACGCCGCACTGAAAATCCGCCTAGAAGCGTTTCTCATCAACAGAAATGTTCCCTCTAATTATGTCTCCTGAGAGACGCTCGGCTCCCACTTGAGATGAGTTCGTCCAAACAGCACTCGCAGGTCCTCATGCACGTGGAATACCAAACACCAAATGCTCTTGATCAAGCTCTCCGCTATTGCCTTTTGATCCGCACATCCATAGATTGGAAATGATGGATGCTGTAATGCATATTAATGGCGCTGTTAATAGAATGTAACTCCACCACAAGGCCGAATATCTCTTTCTTCCTCTTCCCCTCAAATCTTAGATAATGATGTGTGCGTCCTGCCCTTATACAGAGTGAAGCAGAGACATTCAAGTGGAAAACTGTGACATCATTCAACTCACAAACTGTTGCTGGATTCTGTTTAATTTGACTCCCCATTTTTTTATGAGTGTCTTTTTTTTCTGTTCTTTGCTGAAAAATGAATGACCTATTAATTATTGGAAACTTGGGGGAAACAGCGAGGAATGAGAGACGCAGCGATTGAGGCCACACAGATCTGAAAGAATACAAAAGAAATGGAAAACAAGGCTGCAATTGGTCGTCTACTCTGCAGCTCTGCACGTTCTCCTCGGAGACCGCTGATGGTTCTGCGTCTGCCAAAGCATCTCTGACTTCCTCCCGTTGTTCCATCCAATCTAGAAACAACACTGCTTCCGTTATTGGCACACCGTGTTATGAGCTAATACAGGCTTTCCAAAGGCACAGTTGTCTTTTTGGAATCTATTTGCCTTCATTAAAACTAGAGGCATAAAGTTTAAGTTTGACGTCATTTAGCTGGAGGTTTACAGTAAAAATACAAGACGACTGTGCTAAACCTCAGATTAGTTTAAATTAAGGTCATTTTTGCACAAATTTAACCCATTACTTCTCAATGCTAACCCCTCTGCATTGTGCGTTTCTGGGTCAAAAGATGTTCTGGTGCGTTGTTTGTATGCTTACGTTGGTATTTTGACCAACGCTTGGCCGTTATGTCAAGATTCAAGGTTAGGGAGATCAGGAATCAGGCATCAGGAAACATTCATTGCCAAAATCTGTCAAACATACAAGGAATTTGTCTTGGCGGTTGGTGCGTGACAGTAAACACAAAACCGACAATAGACAACAAGACAGCAGTGCACATGTAATAAAATAAAATAAAATGCTAATGCAATGGGTTAGTAGAATAAGTCTACAGGTTAGTATAAAATAAGAATAAAGTTAAAGTAAAAAATTTAAAATATAAAAAAAAAAAATTAAAATAAAGTGCACTATCGAACAAGTGACAGTTAGAGTGACATGTGCAGTATGAAGCAGAGTGACCGGTAGAGTCAGTCAGTGGGGGACCGGCTCTGTTGATGAGCCCGACTGCCGACGGGAAGAAACTGTTGGTGTGGCGGGAGGTCTTAGTCCTGATGGACCTCAGCCTCCTGCCAGATGGAAGGGGCACAAACAGTTTTTGTCCGGGGTGGGAGGGGTCGGCCACGATCTTTTTAGCTGCTTCAGAGACCTGGAAGCGAACAAGTCCTGCAGGGACGGCAGATTGCAGCCGATCAGCCTCTCTGCAGAGCGGAGGACACGCTGCAGCCTGCCCTTGTCCTTGGCTGTGGCTGCAGCGTACCAGACGCTGATGGAGGAGCAGAGGATGGACTCCATGATGGCCGTGTAGAAGTGCACCATCATCGTCTTTGGCAGGTTGAATTTCTTCAGCTGCCTCAGGAAGAACAACCTCTGCTGAGCCTTCTTGGTGATGGAGCTGATGTTCAGCTCCCACTTGAGGTCCTGGGTGATGATGGAGCCCAGGAAACGGAAGGAATCCACAATAGTGACAGGGGAGTCACACAGGGTGATGGGGGAGGGTGGGGCTCTGTTCCTCCTGAAATCCACAACGATCTTCCACTGTCTTTAGAGCGTTGAGTTCAGGTTGTTCTGACTGCACCACGACACCAGAAGGTCAGACTCCCACTTGTAGGCGGACTCGTCCCCACCAAGAATCATCCAATGAGGGGGGGTCATCCGCAAACTTCAGGAGCTTGACGGACTGGTGGGTGGAGGTGCAGCTGTTGGTGTACAGGGAGAAGAGCAGAGGTGAAAGAACGCAGCCTTGGGGGGAACCGGTGCTGATGGTCCGAGAGGCTGAGACATGTTTCCCCAGCTTCACGTGCCGCTTCCTGTCAGACAGGAAGTCTGTGATCCACTTGCAGGTGGAGTCGGGTTTTGGTCATTTCAAAAGAAATATTATGGAGGTAAGGTTAAGGTTAGGTAACAGATGCACGTTATGTAATGTTATGGCTATTGGTACATTCTATGCTTAGTAAAAGCGGTAATGGTCCGTGACTGGAGATGTATTCCTGCATGAAATTGAACATCCTACACTTCCATTTGTCAGTCCAACTCCACACTTACTCTCACCTTAGCTACTTTAAGGGCCCACTCCTTCCTTTGCTGGAGGGGAAGGTTGTTGCACATACATCTTTATGAACAGAATAAGGACGTCATTTCCACAGGTCTTAACCTTTCTCAGGACAAGGCGAAAGTACTTAGTGCTCGTATTTACTTGATGAATTGTGAGTCTTGATACGCCTCTTTGATCTGACTGCTGCAGGGAGTATTTGGTAGAAGTTGTGCATTAAGTTTTACATGCAAAGCTCAAGTTGAGTTAACATACTATGCATCCTCAAAGTCTTAAAAGTATATGGATTATATTTGTACTAAAATACTTGACAGGCCTCGCAATATTTACTTCTTATTACTGTTCAACTGTTAAAAAGTAGTAAATCTTTGCTCTCTGGAAAAGAAAATCTTCTCCTTCAGGTGCAGATATTTACTTTCACTTTGGGGTACTGATGTTAAGGTAACATGTTTTCAACTCGGGAAATGGTTTGGTGATGCGTCCAACTTGAGTTTGTATGCAGAGTTGAAGGAGGGGAAGTTTATGCAATATCTAGATTAAGTTTTTATGAACAGGATTCTGCAGATGTGGTAAAATGTGTGTGGTTTCGTTGAGGATATCTTCATGCAAATAAGCCGTACATTTTTCTCTCGCACATCTTTAGTTGCTTAGAGAACGGTTATGCTAAATATTGTTGTAAAGAAAGGGTCGATTTGGCCTTTAAATGCTAAATTCCCTTTTAGTGAGCAGGTGCTTCTGTGCGCATGATATGGAGATAATTAAACTGCCAGCATTCATGTGCAAACTTAATTCCCACTGCCTTCATAAACTTCATGAGTGAGTGAAAGCTGAAACCAGATATGCAAATAATGTGCTCGGTATGGGCTGCTTCAGTATGTACGTTTGTTATCTCTTGTCCAACTTTGGCCTTGATAGATGTAATAGATCCAACAGGGTCACAATATTGCATAAGGTGAGATGAGCTCTGATTCATATTCCTGCAGCTAGTGAAGAATATATGGACTTCCTCATTAAGACATTTATCTTTTCTGACACTTCACAAGGCACATTTTCCAGTTTTTTTTAGTCCGAGACTTTTCTGCAGAGACACTAATACATACACGTCTTTTTCCTTTATACTTTCTCATAGCACTCATAGCACTCTCTGCTCCAGAGGGATAATAAGCATGTTAGATCAGATACATCAGAAGCATTTCATTTGACATCTATTTAGTGTAGCTTTAAAATAGCATGTGTGGATAGGATCCTAATCAAAGATGCTGCTCTTAATCTCCTGACTGGCTTCTTGTCTTTGAAGCAGCGAAAGGGTGAAATGGATGTATGGCGGTGAGTGTGGGAGAGCGTGCAAACCCTCGCAGATGACACGCTGGCTATTACGACCCTTATCTCCTCCTCACTCAACCCCATGCAGACAAGCCATTAACCCCTCTGTCCATCCACACGCCGCACCTAAAAGGCACATTCTGTGTCCGCGTCTTCAAGAGGGAGCTGCTCAGTTGGATGCTTAGGTGTTTTCCCAGGTGTCCCTGTTGACCCCGTTGGTTATGGAGATTCAAAAGGAAGCACTGTGGACGGCGAAGGTCGTGTAGAGTGTGAACACATTAAAAGCCTCTTTCACTGGGCATCTAGCACGTTACAGTTTGGATTACCTGAGATATTCAATTTGGGAACCTGTTGCGTTTGCACCCATCACCCACTTGCATCAGTGCCCACTGATGTTCAGCTCCCACGACGATTGTTTTCTATTATTTCTTTTTTTTTCATGTCTGCTGGTTATAAAAATGAAAAAGTGCGTCCCTACGATCCCTTTAAGCTAATAATTGACACACGGTCATGTTCTACAGTTTGTCCTGTTGTGACCTCTTAACAATCAAGCTTTTTAATGGCTTGCTGTGACATTTTCTAGACTACGTAATTTGATTAAGTTGGTAGATGTCAAATTCTGAGTTATTTAAAATATTAAGTAACATAAAAGTAAGATAGTAAAATATTTTCATTATTTATTTGCATAAAAAGTGAAGGTCAATGCGCTTTTTAGAGGAGCAACGCACACATATTCATTTCTTACAGCGTATTATTAAATGCCTATCATAGTGGTTTAATTTTAATTTAGGTTTATTCTATTTAGGTTAAGCATCAGGGGACGTGTCTGATTCAGCCGTCTCGCTATTTCATTCAACAGCAAACTCTACTGGTGTTTCACAAAAAGCTTCTGCATAACATTCAAATAGTAGACGTTGGTACGTGCAGCCTTATTCATGACCCATGAGTCAGCCATACGGCTGATTGCAAACGGGACTTTGTGTCCCCAAAGTCAGCAGCACAATATCTGACAAATGTCACTTGTGATGCCACGTGATCGAGAGGGATGTTAGATCAGATACATCATAGAAGCATTTCATTTGACATCTATTTAGTATAGCTTTAAAATGTGTGGATAGGATCCTAATCAAAGATTTTCTTGCAGATGCTGCTCTTAATCTCCTGATTGGCTTCTTGTCTTTGAAGCAGCGCAGATCTTTTAGGCAAAAGCACAACTATTATATGGGTGTTCATCAGGGCTCGATCTCTGGCCCCTGCAGTCAAATTGTCATCGTGTGGGCAAGATAATGAACTCCTGCATGGATTTTGATAACTTTTCTTAACTGTCCAAAGATGCATTGAATGTCTTTTAAAAAGTTTTGCAGGTTTTCAAGGCTGCAGGATAAAACCTCTGGATTCGTTCTACTTCATTATAACGAACAGCAAAGCCACCAGTCACTCTTCAAAAGCATCTCGCATCAGCTCCTGCCTCTGGTGGTGCTATTTTAAAGCTCCGGTTGTCATTAGGGAATAAACATCTCGCGCAAGCTGATGCACGTTAGCAGTCCCCTCCTCTGGCTGTCTCTGAGGACATTTCCCACGGCGCCGTCTCATGTCAGATGCTGTACGCTCAGTGGGAACAGCGCTGCGAGCTGACGTGGGTCACTGAGTCAGCGATACGTCCCCCTCCCCTGCTCTCGCTTTCTCACAGTCCCCACACTCGACAATTGACCCACAGCAGCAGGACAGATCGGTGTGATCAGGGAATCATGGCAAGGTGACCAGGCACGCATCAATCATCACTGGGGGGCTGCTTCAGAACTTATTGTTCCTGCAGGGACTTTTTAAATTGCTTGGAATATAAAGAGGTGACAGGCTCTCTAACCCTGACAGCCGGTCCGCCCGCCCAGCAGCGGGTGCTGTTGTGTTCCCGTTTAGCCAAAGAGAGGGACTCAGCAGGGGGGGGGGGGGGGACTTAAAGGTCCGCTCATGGCGGTTAGCCAAACACGCCGTCCAGAAGAAACGGTTGAAGCGAGAAGCTCTCGGCAGTGCGAGTCCTGGTAGATCCATTAGCTGCTAACTGTTTGCCCAGTCGCTCGGGCGCCCATGTGATCTGATGTGCCATCACTGCCGGCTCCTGCCGGCCCCGGGGGTCCGTCGGCGGAGGGAGGCGTCGGTAGGAGCACAAGAAGAGGTGTCAGGAGAAAGTGTGAGTCACCACAACGATAAAAGGTCTTTGAGCAGCGTGAAGTGTGTGTCGCCGTGGACACACACACACACACACACACACACACACAACTAAAGGCAGAGATTAGAACTCAGAAGGTGGGTTGAATTACCAGCAATGTTTGATGTAAAACACGTTGAGTGTGTTGTAAAACGAGAGGCTACAGAAAGCGTTGCCTTGGTGGAACACGGCCCTTCAGTTATGTCAGAAAGCACCACATTATTTCCAAGGTGCTCACAAATGAATTTGTCAGTCACCCTCGTGCCCACTTTCGTTTCCCATTGAACGCGTCACACGTAAAACACAGATTACCACCTAATTTGAAACACTCGACCCTGAATAAATCTGCATGGTCTCTTCACTGTTCACGAGGTCCAGACAAGAAAGAGGGAGTTTTTCTACTATTTTATAAAACTGGTTTTATTTAAAGCAGATAAAAAAAAAAAAATGTAGCTCAAACTGGCTAGAATGACACTAAAAAGCTCCGTCTGTGCGCTGAAGCAAAACACATTTCAACACAGTTGAAACTTTTTGTACTGTTGTTTTTGGCCTCTGCTTCAAAAATGCCTCGTGATAAAAAGCTGCGTTCTCTCTATCTGGACAATGTTTTCTGTCATAGTAAAAGGGGTAAAAACACCTGTGACGGATGTAAGAATATTACTACATGTCATAAGTGTCAGATTCAAGGGTCCCCGGGGGGGTCCAGCGCCGCCCGCCGGATGACTTTGCTAATATGAGAATTACAGAAAGACATAAATTGCCTTTCTATACAAGTAGCTGTCCACTGCGGTCGCGCTCTGTGAGTGAGCGCATGAGTTAGACCCGAAGGGATCCGGGCGACCGTGACTTTACTGACTGAAAAGTAGCCTGCGCCCCTGCGTTAGGCCTTTCCCATCAACGCGTTACTCCGGGCAGCGGCGCTTCGGTCATCACATCACAGCGTACCGTTCCCTTTAAAGGCGGCGTGCTCGTCGCTCTGCGGGGCTCCGGTGTGGATGAGAAGTCTGGCTGCAACACTACTAGAAGAAATGGACATCCTCATCCAGGAGGTGCTGAGTCCAGAGGCAATTGTGCACTAATAATAAAACACACTCCAATCAATGGGCGCATCAAGCACGGCGTTGCTGCTTAGTGGAGTGCAGCAGTGGCCTTGATGTCACGTCGCCGTCTCTCATCATCACACATCCAGGCCATCCGTTCCTTTTACCCTAAAACCATCCTCGTTGTTTACCTCCGGGGCTGAGTTCCATCTAACAATCATTCGTCACATGATCATCCCCCCCCGACTCTCCCTTTCATCTCTCTCTCGTTCGACCTGCATGAGGTGCCGAATCCTCCGTCGACAAAACGCACAACAAAAAGGCTTTCATTTTCACCCATTCTACATCACAGACACGCAGTCTAAACATGCTGCTGTTGTGCGTTCCCTCCATTTAGTATGCATGAGGTGACAGAGCTCAGCTCACCATTGCACAGAAACAATGAATTGGGGGGGGCGGTCCATCTCACCTTTCAGCAGCCGCAATTCGGGGGACATTAAATGAAGTGCCCGTGCAGAATTTAGAGGAGTTAATATGATTTAAACATGTTTTGTAACTGAAACCCGTTAAGTGCAGCCAGAGGAGAGTTTGGCTAATGTGTGATGTCTCCAATGCTGACATAATGAGGGAGCAGCGCTAATGTTGCTACGCTATCGCTGCAAATGTGGCAGTTGATACGCTCGGGCTTGGCAGAGCGGTAATTAGCCTACACACGAGGAGGAATACGCCACTGAAGACAGACTTGACGCCTGAGAAAAAGAGAGAGAGAGAGAGTGACAAAAAAAAAAAAAAAGAGAGAGACAGGATGAGGAATTCACACCAAGACCGCTAATGTTGCCAGGCTCCTTTGTCAATCAAAGACTCAGAACAAAAGACGACTCTTCAATTTTCTCCACCAAATTACCCCGGCTCTTTTGTAACCTCGCCCCTCCTCCTCATTCCACATTAGACCAAATTGCCTCCGCCTTGCAGCTCAGCACACTTTGCCTCTTTTTCCGACTCATTTCACATTCAGCCATGGAAATTAAATCAGGACAGTGTTTTTTTGACGTCATTGTGCCCTGCTAATGAACATAGCAATTAGGTGGTGGAAATTAATTTTGAGGAGAAAATAATTCTAAAAAAAAAAAAAAGGTTCAGCTTGAAGACCCGGGAGCAGACTGGCTGTGGTAGTACACTCACTGTGGGTGTAGTGAAGCACTTCTCCACCGTGAGGCGCCGCCTCACACGCACTGCCAGTGGAGTAACGCTCGGCCCCCCTCTCGGCTTCTGCCGCCGGTAATTGCCTCCGTCCTCCTCCAACTACCAAGGAGCGCAACGAGAGAGGGGGAACATGTTTCCACGCGCCGCCCTTCCAGGAGGATCACCCCCCCCCCCCCCTGAACTCTTCCTGAAAGACAAGCGGAGATCTTCCACCCGGAGTTTGACATCCACTTCCAAATCTGACAGGGGACTGATGGCTGTGTTAAATCTCTTCTTGCCCGGGTTTGGTGCGGGGGGCCCTGGGGGGCCTCAGGTGTGGGGAAAGATATTTCAGCAGACGTTTGTAGGGCTCCCAGATCTTTCAGGCTTTAATCTGTCTGAATGGAGCAGCTAATGAGGAAAAATGAGTTGCCTTGTGCCTCGTTGATCATGTGGAGCCCGAGAGGGGAAAGAATTAAGGCCACAGAACAACAATGTTCATGAGTTCATGTCGAACTACATCAGAGAGCCATTTCAAAAACAATTAAAAAGGGATGGACCATTGAAGTACAGAGACTGGGTAATACACATTACCTACCACCTGTGTGATGGTGCTGTGCTACACACACCTACTGGTATCACTACTAAGCTCACAGATGGGACACTTGATGTTTTTCTGATTTGCTCGGTTGGGTCAGAACCACAATGGAAAGATTCAGTGTCACAAAAAGCACAAAAGCCTGAAATTCAAGGTCAGAGACTGTTACAAAGGAACAAAATTGTCCTCAATGGCTACCCCATTTGCTGCAGCTGCTTTACATGTGTTAGTGAAGGAAGCAGAACACGTATCCCTTTGTTAAATATTGTCTCATAGCACTGGTGGTGGTCAGAGGGATTCATTTGGACCACATTTATTGTCCTTAGTTGCAGTTAACGTTTCATTTTCAGTGTAAGTGTGTTTATGGAGCCTGTTTGAACTGATGTTCTTCACACCTGGTGTGTTTGTTGACGGGGACCACGTAGACGGCTTGGTCAAATTTGGCGTCTTTTAGACATGCAACACTTTCGATATTAATAAACCTTTGTAGACACAAAGGTCATTATAATGAAAAGCGAAAACAAGTATTTCTTTTAATTTTATTTCATAAGGGTTCAGTACTAAGTGCAAATACTCTTTACACACAACACCTAATATACCTTCTCTGTTATTACATTCTAGGCGCTTCCTTGAGCTGAACCCGGAAAGAGAGGCAAAGGACAACCAGGGCACGGTGGTGTCTACAAGGACAGGGAAGCTGGTCCAGAAGAAAGCAGCAACTGTCAATCCACACCCAATCTCCAGGACTATGAGTGGGTCTGTATGTGGTCGTCTGCATATTTCCACACAGGACATTGGAAACAAGAACACCAGGATGCAGTGTGCTAACTAAAAATGTAGTTCCAAGACTTTGCCTTAGTTGTAGACTGTAGAGAATTTGTCTTCTGTGTTCTGATTGTATTGTTTTTTAAGTATTTTGAATATCTTTTGTTGTTGAATATGGAGTTATTACAACAAATGCAAACAATTTCATGTTTATTTTTCAAAAATGTGATTAATTTAATAAAAGTATATTATTGTTGAGTCTTTTTTATGTTTGCCATTCTAAGGTTTTTTTATTTTGAATTGCAACACTTTAAATCATAACATCATAACAGTGTCATGCTGTAAAACATTTTACAGTAATTAACTGTAAAATGGGCATCACGGTAGGAACAGTAAAATAATGGTATAATGCCATTTCTATACAGCCCTTTACTGTTATAGAGTATTATGCTGTTGCTGTAATTTACAGTAGTTATGCTGTAGAATTACAGTAGAAAAAAGGAAATGTGGCTTCCAGTAGATTGCTGTAAATTAACGGGGAAATTTGTTAGTGTATATTTTGAGAATCAATGTTATGGTTGTAAATGTGCTTTGATTTACATGGTTTGTAGTAGTACTTTCAGGTACAATGATTAACAAACATGATTCAATACTTTTCATATGTAAACATCAAAACAAATTAGGTCCGTATGTGGCCATCGTCATTGGGGACACAGGTATCCGTCCTTATTGTCAAAGTCTAACCCTGGTGGATTATTCCTGAGCCTATGGCATTGCAATGTGTTGTTGATGTATTCAGTTCTGCATTATGTGTGTGAGCTGTCTGGAAAGCTGCAAACAGCAGTGCTAGCAGTGACGTCAACAAGACGTCTGTTAGAATGAAAAGAAGCACTGCTATAAATACAACCAGAACACATCTGCCCCTGCTGCAACAATACAAGTCGACTCACAGAAAATGTTTTTTTTACAGTAGATGTTTCACAGGATGGCTTGACATATTTGTATACAATTTTTTCTAATACTGCAAAGTGTCTTATGTGTGCACAATATTGAAACAGATTGGATTTATATCTTTAAAGCATTAAAAAGCTTGTGTTTTGAGTAAGTATGAGAACTGCACTGAAACAGCGAGTCTTCTAAACGCATTAACAATGGAATGTAGCAGTGGAACGAAACTCGGTGACTGACTGTGAATCCTTTGTCTTGGAAGAGAAATGTCTTCCTGGTGAGCAGTTGAGCAGTAAGCACAGTACAAGGCCATGTTTTAGATATACAGTACCTATACAGAGAGTGACAGACACAGGCCCAGTGGATTTAAAGGGGAGACGGTAAAATTGTGGATTTCATGAAAGCTGGACAGACGCCCCACCCCCAGTGTGACCACTGGAAAACAGCTTTCTCACGCTGGGTGGCGTTCCAAACAGCATGTCGTTGGACTGATGTAGCAGATTTACATCAGGAGCGTGGCTCCACCTGTCATCCTGCCCTGCCCTTGATTTACACACAAAGGTTTTACTGCCAGCACTTGTCATTACAGTGGAGTAAATACACGTGCACAATGGCTGGATACACAAATACTAAACACAGGCACAACAGCTGGGGCCCTCTGCCACACATAGCGGAGCACCAACAAAGAAAGAAGCACATCATACCACTATGTTTGCAGCCATATAAGAAGTAGAGGCATCCACCTTGATTACAGTTTTAAAGGGGACATGATGTGAACATTGTCACAGGTCTTCTACACGTTAACCCCCAAAAGCTGGGAAAAAAAATATGTTTTTTAACAATTCCCGTACTTAATTAACACGATGAAAATGACTCGTTTGGCAGTTCCGCGGTTTGCCGACTTCAGCAGACCAAGTGAGAGTCTCCTTGGCGTCGCCTTGGCCCTCGCCCACCACATCCCTCCAACACAGTTCTGCACAATTCTCGTCGAGAGCAGTCGCCCCATGACAAACACACACACACACACACACACACACACACACACACACACACGCGCACACACACACACACACACACACAAACACGCACACCTGTTGTCGGGGAAACTGGAACCACATTCCATTGCTCCTTGGCAAAGCTTTGACTCCCTTTCAGGTGACTGGATTTCCAGCACCGCGGTTTTGCTCATAATCATAATGTCTGGAATACTACTGAGTGTTATTTTATCTCTTTGTACCCACTTGTAACTTAAAAGTATTTTAAAAGTTGAATGCATTGGCATATTTATTGATGTATTAAAAAACACGTTTACTTTCCCTTCCTATAGATTTAATGCTAAGAAGATATATTGAATAGTCTGCTATTACTTTCCTTATTATATACCGATAAACAGTACATTGCATTCATAGCTGAGCACGAGTGTACATCGTGAACTCTTTTCCATTTCTCAATGAAGTCATTATATTATGCTGATTAGCCGTGACTAACCTCAGCATGATAACATAAACCGTAATGCATTACAGCTCGATGTGTTTCTATTCTATCACACTGCACATTTAACTCAGCTAAGATTGAATCAACGGGTTTTCTTGTGATTCATAAAAGAATCCAAAAAGTTCTAAAAAGCTTGTTTAGGAAGTGCTTCTCCTTGTTTTAACACGCTTTTTCCAAATGCATGAATTGTCCACGCGTTTTTGCTTCATTACCATTTTCAACATTCTTATAAAGGAAACTGTTACACAAGGATTGGAGAATTTTCAAAACATTTGTCTACTTAAATTGTCCAAATTAATTCCTGAAGTGGTTGTAGCTTTGCAGTAAATTCAATCACCTCGGCCCCAATTATGGAAGTGGCTGTTTATTCAACGGACATTTTGAATGCGAGTGTGTGTGCTGAAAAGCTATTGAAATGCTAATGTTTCAATTAGACCCAACCAACTCAGTACGTTGCTGTGTTCTCAGAGACGTGTGAGGCTTTCATCGGAGAAAAAAAGATCTCACAGATTCATGGAAATCGATATATCTGACTCTGATAATGTGGCTTTGGTGGACATTGTTCATTCTGACTTTGTGAACATTCCCCGTAATGAGTGCGTCCTGTGGGTTTTTGTATTAATACACTTCACACAATTGATCAAAGTCACGATTAAGATTACTACATTAATCGTCTGTTTGCAAACACAACAGTAAAACGGCACTTTATGAGCCACGGCCATCAGCCCCTCGCCGAAGGTGATCGTTATAAATCAGTCCAACGTGACCTCTGCACACGATGTGGACAACGTGCCTGCTCCTCCCACTGATAAGCGGTTAATGAATCCCACACCACTTCTAATCTAACGGCGTCTTTCGGACCATCACTTTTCAACAGGGAAAGCGATAACGATATAGTTCAGAGGGTTCAGAAAGTTAAATGAAGGTCAAGACGACAGCCTGGGACACATTTTGCACAGTGGCTCAGTGGTACAGCAGGTCATCAATCTGAGGATCAGGCAAGACACAGCTCCCAGCGTTGCATGAGTGGTTCTGGGTGTTGGATGGTGCTGGTGGCTCCTTGCATGGTAGCCCTTGTCATTAGTGTATACATGAGGGTGAATGATGACATGTAGTATCAAAAAGGGATGTACCTACAAGCAGAGTATCAGATATCAGCAATTCAATAAGGAGAGACGGCTAGATGAATTATAGATATGTGATGGGTCTTCTTCTTTGGCACTTTGACTCTTCAGGGAGATTTGGAATGGATGTTGGTCTCCACTCTGCAGCAGCAGGACAAATCCACCAATGGAGTCCGGACATGGTGTCGGCTGATGGGATGATGAGTCGATGAAGCTGGGTTGGGTGGAGATGGGGAGGTGGAGGCATGTATAATGTCAGCATCAAAGTACTATTTAAAAGAGTAAGATGATTGGCTGACAACGTTAATCTTTGTTGTGCTTGTTGAACACAAATTGGATGTATGAGAAATAAACGACCTACGCTTCATTTCCTCCCATAGAGTGTATTATTAGTTACTGTTGACTATTGCCTCATTCATTTTCTACTTTTCCCAAAATAAACTTTTGACACAACTCTTAATCTGCACTAATCTTTCTATTTTTTAATGGAAATGAATTAGTTTGACTCACTGTGGATTATAATTGACAATTGGCCTCTTATTTCAGACATTCTTCTTCCCTTCCTATCTGCACCATGCTGCCAAGTGGAAGTACCTCACTGAATATTCCATTCAGCACGCCGTATTTCATTATCCTAAAAACACAGAGTCTCCCCCATACCAGGATTCACCCAACCTGGCGCATCACCTGTCATCACCCGTCAATCACTGCTGCCCTGAAAGCTCAAAGAAAGGAGTCGAGGTTGAAGTGCAGCCTCACTGCTGCTGAAAGGACCACGAGGTGCAACCCACCCAAAGCTTTGTGCTGCTTCGGGTTGACAGTTTAAATCAGACACCGATGGCACAGCGCTGTGTATTACATCTTTTGTTTGACCAATGATGCTTTGCGCTGCATAGGGGGCACTTGGGTGAAAGAAATATTTCATAGGGGGTTACATCACTAAAGATGATCCAGGGCACAGTTGCTGCACTCTGTAATTGATGCAGCCCATTTTATCCTGCACACGGATGATGGGCTGGGAGGTAGGTACGGCTTTGCAAGACGATAGGTAAAGAAGTTATAATTTATAATTATGCAATGTTAAAACGGTTGTCCACAGCTCAAACTCAATCACATTGAGTTACCATCCAAATGTGCAGTTTTCTTCAACTCTTCCCCACAACTTTGAGCTAATTGTTGTTTGGGTTTCTGCTTTTATCAGTGACATTCCTGAAGTTAGGGGAGCTGTGGTCTGTTTAACAATGATAAAACCAGACCAATCTCTACTCGTAGCTACTGTGAAGAAGAAAATTCACTTTTTTGGAGTTGCTCGTGCTGGTCCCTTCTGCGGAGATTGTCGTGGGAAGGAAAAAAGCGCGATGGCATTTGTGGGGGCAGCTACTGTCGTAGGTAAGGGGGCTGTAGCGGAGTGCTTTCATTCTTAACGTTGTATGCAATTGTTTATAACAGATCGAATGTGACGTAATAACGGGATCACGGGAGGACTGCCTAGCTTGTTGGATTCCTACTTACTGGTAAATTGGTCAAAATGACTTAGTAGAAAGTTTAGATAATTGATAAAGTCAGGAGAAGTGGGTTACTGCTAAGGATCGGACCACCATGGAATATTACTATTAACACCAATTTGTAAAAAGTATTTTAAGAAGAATTAGCTTTTTCATTAGATAAAAGACACAAAAAGTCTGGAAGGCAAATAT